GGCTGGAATGAGGAAACAGCCGCGCTGGGCACCGAGAGGGGACACAAACCCCGAAAGGACCCAGCAGCCGCCCGTTCGTGCCCCTCCCAGGGCTCTGGGAGCTTCCCCAGATGCTTTTTCCAGCGCAAAAAGCTGGGATTAACTTTTCTGCTCCCTTTCCCAGCACCCCCGAACGGGCTTCGCTGCCCTCATGCCGGCTAAGCCATCCCAGACAGGCTTTGGGGTTATTTCCAGGGATTTTGGGAGTCCTGCTCTCCTCTGCCCTGGGGTTTCACACCAGGACAAAAACTCCTGCTTCTAAAGTATACCATTTATCCTGCCAGGACAGAGCCAAGCAAGGGGCAGATCAAAGATGAGGAGCAGCAACAGCTTTATTTAACCACCATTCCTTTAAGCCACAAATCAGCCCAATGCCCCTTGAGGATCCCTCCAGAGAGGTGGGAACAGGAGTCCCCAGGACCTGAGCAAGACCTTGGGGACCTGCCAAGGAACCACTTGTACTCAGCTGCCCCAGAACTGAAGTCAGTCACAAAAAACCCATTTGCAGCTTCAGCCTTTTGCTTCCCTGGCCCCTCCAAGGGCAGATCCTGCCCTTTCCAAACCCACTCCAACACCCTGAATTAGGGCTGTAGCACCTTCCCTGACGCAAGCAGCAGTTAATAAACAGCATCAGCTGCCGTGGATCCCTCGGTGAATGATTCTCCAGGGAGAACTGAGGAGCATCCCCTGGCTCTGCACCTCCATGCTACCTCCGGCCTGGGGTCGTGGGTTTGCTTCACGCCCCATGGGATGGGAACAGGGAAATGATCCGGCACGCTCGGCCACCCATCCTTCCTGCTGCAGTTAATATTGGAGAGGGCACCCAGCAAGGAGTAAATATTAATGACAGGGTATGGAGCAACCTCCGCCCAGGAACATGTGTTACCCCACCCCAGGCAGTTTTGGGAAAACCCATCCTGCTCCAGTCACCCCTGCAAAGGACTGCAGGTTTTTTTTTTTTACTAGGAAAATGCTCCTTTCCGGAGCAAAACAGGCTGTGGGAGGGTCTGGTGTGATGCTGGGTGGGTGTTAGTGGAAGAGAGGTCCTCGCATGGAAAAGAAGGAAGGAACAATAAATACCTGACTCTAGAGGGCGATCCAAGTAGCAGGGGTTGGCAGGAGCCCTAAGGAAAGGGAGAGGAGGGTGGGGGAAGAGGTAAGAAACCCTCCCCTAAGAGATACTGACCCTTGGCACCTCGTTTCTCCTTTCACACTCCAAGAAAGACAAACAATCCTTGAAAACAGTTTATTCCATAGCTGAGTGCCTGAATCCGAGTGCCTGCTCATAAACCTGTCACAGAGCGATCCCCGGTTCAGACCGGGAGAGGCACAGCTCAAACTGGGCACACAAAGCAGGAGAGCAAAGGTGACACCATCCTGGCGCCTGGCACAAGGGACAGGCAGGACAGGGCCCAGCCCTGCTCCCTGCTCACACCAGTCACGGGGATATGGGGAGGGCACACGGGGCTGCCCCAGTCACAGACGCTTCCCCGAGCGAGCGCAGAGAGCGGCCAGTTCTTGGAGCGGCTGCGTGGCCGTGTGGGCACAAGAGGAGATCACGGAGTGCAGCGCCTGGCTGTAGGCTGAGCAGGAAGGGGACATGGAAACTGTGTCAGGGGATGAAAGCTGCACTTATGGCCCAACACTGGGCTTGGCTCCAGCCTTTCACCACAGAGCAGAGAGGGAACAACTGGGATTTAAGGTAAATCTATATGCCTGTAGTTTTCCACACGCCTGCCTGCACGCTCTGCACGCTCCTGAGTACAGAGCAGTATGCAAGCCAAGATTATTTTATGAAGCCCCAATTTCTCTATTTTCTCTCCCAGATAACTCCCAGTTGCCCAGCCAGGTACTTTCCCAAGCTGTGCTCCAGATCAGAGCAGTCAATCACTTAACAAAGACCATTTCCATGCCTTCATGCATCCTCCCAGTAGAAGATTCAGCATCTAAGGCAGGTGGCTCCGTGTCCCTAACAAGATGATTTGCAGCATTTTCCTTGTGGCTGTGTCCCCATGCACATGTGGCTGTGTCACAGCTGCATGACTTAACACATTGTAGGGGTTTGTACTTTGTTCAGGATGCCAATTAAGGGCCCTTTGTTCAGGATGTCCCTAAGGGACAGAGCCCAACTTGCCCTCTCTGGAGTATATTTGGAAGAGCATCTCTGCATAGTGGCCCAGGAGCATGAAAACACCTATGCTGGTTTGATTTCTCCCTGTAAAATCAGAGATCCAGGCCCAGATGCCTCCTCTCTGGAAGCAGGAGCTCCTACCTTTGTGGTTTTTGTAGAAGACGCAGTTGTTGGCGCAGGTATCCGGGTGGGAATCCCAGAACTCGGACCCACAGGAACACAGCGGGGGCAAGTCGATGTTACAGGCTTTGATCTTCTCCCTCATTTGGGCTCTCAGAGCTTCCACATACCTGGGAGGGACCAAACATTCACTCCTGCCAGCGACACCCGGCTCTGCCTGGGGAGCGGGCACCGGCCCTACCTCGCGTGCTCCTTATCCCGCTGCTGTCTGTCCTTCACTCTCCTCTCCTCCAGCTGAAGCTGGGCCAGGGCTTCCCAGGCTCCCTCTCCCAGGGAGGGTTTTCGCTGCTCAGCCAAGTCCCTCATCCTCTGCTCCTCCACCCGGCGCTGATTCTCCTTCTGCCTCTTAATCCTGCAGGAACACACATCATTAGGGAAAGTTTCCCCATCCCAACCCCTCATTCCCAGCCAGTCCCTGTCTGTGAGGTCAGGGCACAGGGATCTGGGTGACACTGCTGCTTTTGCAGGCAAAAGTAACTCTGCACTAATCACAGCATTACATATAAATATATTGGCTTTAAACATAAAATAGTCAAAAACGCTTTCTGAGCCTCCATTCGTGCCCCCATAAGGCAACACCAGCCTGTGAACACCCTCCTGCCTGCTCATTTTCTCACCACTGTAGACTTCCCTTTCCAGCTCCCTCCTGCATCACATCCACAGGTGCTCCTGTTGGGAAATGTCACCTGCAGTTCCCCAGAGTTGCTCTTCTGTCCTTAAACCAAGCACAATAGCCAGGCTCTTTAATACCCACCAGAAAGGACCAACATCTTGGCTTGCCAGCTTCCCTACTTCCCATTATTCTGGTTATGAGGCAGCTTGGATCCTTCTGTAAGCAGCTTCAAGGGCTGGGAACCATAACAGGGTACAGCAGAGACACTCCAAGGATCCCACCTTTACTCCAAAACAGGCTTTAAGATGCACTTTTAACCCAGTTTCCCTCTATTTCCTCAATCTCCCTTGTACCTACACAGCCCTCCAGCCCTTAAGTGGGTCCTGGGTTGTGTAATTCCCACCAAACACAACACACATTTCCCTAACAAGGAGCAATTGCAAAGCACAAGGACTTTACACCAAAGCATCTGCCATTTTATTCCCAAATGCAACAACGTGTCTCACTGCCAGGAGGTATTAAAACACAACATCAAGGCTGGGGAGAAGCCAGGGAAAGGCAGTGTCATCAGACAAGACATTTCAGATCTTACTCCGTGTAGGGGGTCAAATCTTTACCTCCAGAAGGAAAGTGCTGAAACCAAACTTCTCTGGTTGAAGTTCACTGAAATGCTTTTCAAATGAAATGTAAAGCCTTAAGTACAGCACCATAAACCTGCCCCAGAAATCAAGGCAAAGGCCAACTCGGGGCTTTACGCCCCGTAATTACAAACCCAGCTCTTCCCTGCACACACTCTGGGGGAAAAAAATAATAAAAAAAGGTATCACACTAACAAGGGAATCCCTGGGGCCTTGCCAGCACTTGCAGGGCAGGACATGCTCTCCAAAGCTCCCAAGTGCCATTAGAACATCAGGGATGTGGTGGGAGGAGCACTGATTTAGACTGGCAGCTTTTCCTTGAAAAAATGGCCATGAAAATCC